CCCCAAAACCCCAAAACCCCAAAACCCCAAAACCCCTGCCCTCCCTTATAAATTTATCCTAACCTTACACCCACTTTCCACTATGTCATCACACAAACAGATTTATGCAGTAATCGGAGCTGGAGTAGCAGCTGCCCTAGGACTTGGACTGTATGAAAGAGGGGGTGAGCGTACTTTAGAAGGAAAAGAGGGGAGAGGGCTGGCAGGAAGGAAGAGGAGAGGATAGAGGATGGGTATGATGGGGAAGTGCATGATAAGGAGTTTTTGGAGAGGATATTGGAGGAGTTTAAGGTAGAGCATGCGATTTTGTACTGTAATTGGTACTCTATACTTAGGAAGAGAGAGGAAGAGGGTAATGGAAGGCTTGATAGGGGTGTTATGGAGAGATTTGAGGCTAGTGTTGGAGAGATTATCTTTAAAGTTGATAAAGATATTTTAGATCGAAATGATATTAATGTTCACATTTACAATAAAATGCTAGAAGTCAATCAGGATGAAGTTGCTGTGAAGAAATATAACGAAGACATGGAAAGAAATTACAATAAACTCATGAATATTGAGAAGCCAGATTTTCAATTTGAATTTCCAAAAGAGATCACTAAGGAAAATTATTTCGAATATTTAAAGCTATCTTATGCTAAATTAAGATATGAAATCTATCATGAAGTACAGAAAATTATGAAAGAGACTGGTCAACAAAGTATCACAAATGAACAGTTCGGTGAAGTAATCAAGAAAGTCTCCCTCCCTGATATTAAAGAAAAGGTATATACAATGATGAATTACCCTGAAGTGCCAGGGGAGAAGAGTCCAAAGACAGCTTTGAAAGCCTATTTAGTCCATATGCAGGAAGATGAAATGTGGTCTAACGAAGTCCTATGTCTCCAAAAATCTCACAAAGAACTCCTACTCCAGATTCCTCAAGGGATAAAGGGTGAAGAAATGAATGAGGACCCACTAGAAGTCTTTGAGAGGGAGAGAGAATGCGAGAATCAATTGAGTCAGAAAAAGAATGCTCCCAATGCTCCTAAAGAAGACCAGAAATCTCTGGATAAGTCAACAGAGTCAAACAAGGGAAATGGCTCATTCTCATTTTTGGGAAACCAAAAAGATCAGCAAAATCTGGTTCAAGAGTTCCTCAATCGTGACAAGAAGAAGACTGATCAAATTAAGGAAGTAGCTGAAGAGGAAAATCAGGACAATAAGCCTGAAGAAGTTAAGGAGGTAAGCATACGGTTTTGATTTAATTTAACACATTTTTAGGAAAAAGACACTCAAGAACCAAAAGCTTTGGAGAAGTCTGCTCCTGAAGCAAAGCACAATTCTCCTAAGGTCTTAGATGAAGCCAACAACAATAAGGAAGATGCCGCTCCTGAGGGTGAGAAATCAGCCGACAATGAAGAACAAGACTAAAATATTCATCAGCTTAAAGACTTTAACAACATTCTACCAACACTCTAAACCCTGGGGTTTTGGGGTTTTGGGGTTTTGGGGTTTTGGGGTTTTGGGGTTTTGGGGTTTTGGGGTTTTGGGG